TAGGGTTTAGGGGTGTAGGGTTTTGGGGTTTGGGGGTTTAGGGTTTGGGGTTTAGGGGTGTAGGGTTTAGGGGTTTAGGGTTTAGGGTTCCAAAACCTTTAATCATGTTGGGGATCCCGAAGAAATAATTTAAGGTCGATTCCTCAGTTGAAGAAATACCGAAGGCCTGTACCTTATAGAACCATGACCCAGGGCCAGAGCCTTAAAGGGATTCTCTAGGGCGTTCCCTGTAAGGGATACTATAAGAAGTACCCGTTACGGTTTTTAGGGCTTGGGGTTTAGGATTTCGGATTTAGAGTTTGAGGTCTAGGGCTTGGCAAGGGCCTTAAATACAAGCTGTTCTGCTAGGGTTTAGGGTTTAGGGTTTAGGGTTTAGGGTTTAGGGGCTTCGTAGTCCAGTATCGTGTCGCAACATATTCAGGACCTCTAAGCATGATGTTGGTAGTGAAACACGATGCCCAAAAGCCTCAAGAATTACCCTGAACCCTGGGTTTAGGGTTTAGGGTTTAGGGTTTAAGGTTCCTGAACTCTTGAACCTTGACCGATTGTGACACTGTAAACCCTAAACCCTAAACACAGGCCCTAAGCCCTAAACCCAACTCCTACACACCGAAAGCCTTGAATCCCTATCCAGGGATCTCCGTGCCCCCTTCATATGGGTAATGCTTCCTGGGGTTTGGGGTTTCGGATTTAGGGTTTGGGGTTTAGGATTTAGGGTCTCGGGTTTTCCGATTTAGGGTTGAGGATTTAGGGTTTAGGGGGTGTAATCATGCTACCTTCTAGTTTCACAAGAGCACCCTCCCAGAGAACCCAATACACTTTAAACAAGGAAAATATCTCAAACTATAGTGGCCTTAGTATTATGACTTCAAGTATATTCCTTACTTCCCTTAAGCCCTAAACCCTTAACCTCTATAGATCCCTTTAAGGAGCCCTTTAAGGTAGATTTCTGAATTTTGGGGTATTGGGATCTCTGGGTTAGCCTAAACCCTAAACCCTAAACCCTAAACCCTAAACCCTAAACCCTAAACCCTAAACCCTAAACCCTAAGCCCTAAACCCTAAATGTTCACAAGAACTCATCAGCTCGACGCCGAAGGACCGAGGGGTAAGGGTTTAGGGTTTAGGGTTTAGGGCTTAAATTAGGGTTTATGGTATAGGGTTTAGGGTTTAAATTAGGGTTTAGGGTTTAGGGTTTAGGGCTTAAACTAGGGTTTAGGGTTTAGGGTTTAGGGTTCAAATTAGGGTTTAGGGTTTAGGGCTTAGGGCTTTTAGGGTTTAGGGTTTTGGGTTTAGGGTGCTTCTTCAACTTCTTTAGTCATGCGCCCCAAAGGCCAGACAAACCGAATAGAGGGGCCTCAAGAATCAAAATGGGGGTTTCCCAAAATAGGGGACCCTAATATAGCACCCTAAATAATAGGTTCCTTATTATAAGGACCCCAAAATAAGGTACCCTAATTTTCGGAAAGCCCCAAATAGGGTTTGGAGGCCTGTATACTACATACTTATAACACCGAACGCGTTGAGAGAGTTTATGTCATTATCTGTCTGGTGCTTAGTAGGGAATGGGGGAATGGGTTATAGGGACTACTACAAGGGACCTTAAGGCACTATCATAGGGATCCATTCCCCCATTCCCTACTAAGCGCCAGACAGTTATTTAGGCCCCAGATGCCAAACCAAAAGGGCCCAAGTATTCTTATGGCAGCTACTTTGTAGGTATTTGGGCCCCAAAGTATATACCATACTACTAAACCCTAAACCCTAAACCCTAAACCCTAAACCCAAGGCCCTAAACCCTACTACAACTTGGACCCTTTAGGAACAGTAAAGGGAAGGATCTCGGAGTTAGGGCTTTCTGGGATCACCCTTGCCATCGCTGAGTTGGCTTTTTGGGCCCCGCCATCTTCAGCACCCTCTACGGGGTTTAGGGTTTAGGGTTCAGGGTTTAGGGTAGTTTAGGGTTTAGGGTACGTAGTTTAGGCTTTAGGGTTTAGGGTTTAGGGTTTCATCCCTTAAACCCCAAACCCTACACTACACCTTCTAGGTTCCCCAGTGGCCCCCCTTGTTCCTACTATTTGGTTTTACTAAGGGATCCTAAGAACACGGTTTAGGGTTTAGGGTTTAGGGTACACCTCCCAGGTTCCCTAGTGGCCCCTAAATCTATAAAGGTACCCTTGTTCCTACTGTTTGGCTCTATCAGGGGATCCTGAAAAGAAAAAGGGCAAAAGGGTGCTACTGGGGAACCTCTCCTTCTAACTATAGACCCTACACCCTAAACCCTAAACCCCTAAACCCTAAACCCGGAACCCTAAACACTAAACCCCTAAACCCCCTAAACCCCTAAACCCGCAAACCCCGAAACCCGGAACCCCAGACCCTAAACCCCTACATCTAAATCCCTAACTCAGCCCCAAACCCCGAAACCCGGAACCCTAAACCCCAACACCTACCTTAAGAAGCCCAAACCCACATTTTTGTAGGTTCTTATTATAAACTCTAATATGGGATTCTTAGGGACCCTACAAAAAAGTAGGTTTTGAGTTCTTAAGGTACACCCAAATCCCTAACTCAGCCCCCCACTTCGGATACGACAGGAGCGCCGCACCGGGCCAGACCCACCACCGTCCCCTTCGGTACGCTTGCCTCTGTGGCGTTTTAGGGTTCTGGGGTTCTGGGGTTTAGGGGTTTAGGGGTTTAAGGTTTAGGGTTTAGGGTTTAGGGTTTTGGCGTTTTGGGTTTAGGGTTTGGGGTTTAGGGGTTTTGGGGTTTTGGGGTTTAGGGTTTAGGGTTTAGGGTTTTAGGGTTTAGGGTTTAGGGTTTAGGGTTTAGGGGTATAGTGGTTTAGGGGTTTAGGGTTTAGGGTTTCGGGGTTAGGGTTTAGGGTTTAGGGTGTAGGGTTCAGGGGTTTAGGGTTTAGGGTTTAGGGTTTAGGGTTTAGCGGTTTAGGGGTTAAAGGGTTAAGCGGTTTAGGGGTTTAGGATTTAGGGCTTGGGTTTTAGG